AGGGCAGCGGGGCTCTGATCGCCCTGTCCCTGGTCTGGAGGCCCGCTGGGAAGGCCTGAGGCTCCTGTCTTCCCCCTTCCAGGTGCTCAGCTCTTAGAGCAGGGGTGTCTCTCAAAGAAGCACACCCTTGTCCCCAACCCAACTAACTGCAGAATGTGGCTCAGACATTTTTCTCTGGAGGCGGAAGCTGTAAAACCAGTAGTTCCTAATGTTTTCCCAAGGAACTGACTTTATTTGCATCAGAATATGGCTAAGCTGAAGCCTGAGGATGTTCTCGGAAACTTAGAGGTTGCTGTGAAAGGCCGTTGGGAGGAGATCGGTAGATTCATTGCAGATAAAAACTAAACGGTAGGCCAGCTAGTTAGCTGGAGAGAACTGGGGAAGGAGATAGCTGGGAGGAGCCCTCTGGAGTCAACACATCTCAGACACTGACTTTGGGAGGTGTCCCTTCCAAGGAACCCAAATGTGATTGGATCGGTTTGCGGAACAATTCACATCCCAGGGTCTTGTTGAAATAGTAGAGAAACTAGCTGGAAATTTGTGGAGTTTAACAGCTCCACAAATATTTATATATATTCAGTAAAGAAATTAAAAAGCTGCATTAAGCTGCATTAGAAAATACTCACTTGATGCAAAAGCAGTAAAGGAAGATCAGAGGAACAAAACCAAATATGAGATATAGAAAACAGAAAGTAAAATGACAGATGTAAATCCAACTGTATCCATAATAGCATCAACTGTGAATAGATTAAACAATCCAATCAAAGACAGGGATTGTCGGACTGGATTAAAAAAAAAGGTTCAACTCTATGCTGTGTGAGATAAAAGAAAAAAATATATATATTGATCTCTACCCCAGGTTTTTGGCATAGGTCTCTTGGAAACCCTTGTAATTTCCTAAGATATAAGTGGAAGAAGCCAGTCACAATTTATACCACAAATCACATATTATATGATACATGCTACCATTTATATGAAGTGTCCAGGGTAGGCATATCTGTAGAGATAGATTAGTGGTGGTGCAGGGCTATGGAATGGCAGATAGGAGGGTGTAGCTGATGGAAACATTTTTTTTTGGGGTTTGAAATGTTCTGCAATTGATTGTGGTGATGATCACATATATTGCTTTCGTATATCTGCATATACTAAAATCCATTGCCTTGCACAGTTTAAATGAGCAGATTGCATGGTAGTAAATTATGTCTCGATGAACCTGTTAACGAAAGTAGTAGTACCAGTATTTTGACTAAGAGATAACTAATGGATGCAGTTTAGGTTTCTTCACAGTTCATCTGGTCCTTGGAATATATTCCATTGAGAATGTACAGTCAAAGTAATGTGATTTAAAAGTCATTAGAAATGATTCTTTTTTCTGTATGGTTATGTTACCAACTTGATGTTTAGTTATCAGTTGTTTTTTAGTTGTAGCTTACAGCAGTGACTATTTCCTGCTCACGTTCTGTGAGGTTGCTGCAGGGGCTCATCTTCAGGTCCCAGGCTGGGTTCAAATGACAGCATTTCTTTGCATTTCTTTTACCTTTAGAAGGTATACCATTAAGGGTATCCTTCAGAAGATTGTTCAAGAGTTACTTGAATTAATTTTTTTGTATATGTGTGATTATCAATTTGTTAGGGTTTTTTTAAAGATAAAATGCAGTTTGAATTTAAAATTTTCACATAAATTTAAGGACTGTACTTTTTTTGTTTAGTCATGCTGGGTGGCTTGCAGGATCTTTGTTCCCCAGCCAGGGATGGAACCTGTGCACCCTGCAGTGGAAGTGAGGGCTGTCAGGGAATTCCAGGACTATGGGGTTTTTAATTCATTATTCTTTTTGTTGTTGATTATTTGGTTATGGTTTATCTCCCTCCTCTGTGGAATGTAAAATCTGGGGGGGCCTCCATGTTCCTCCACACAGTGCAGTGCTTGGTTAACCGTGGGTCCTCAGACACGTTTATTGAAATAAATGAGTGAAACGTGTGTGTGCGCTGTCACTCAGTCGTGTCTGATTGTTTGTGACCCCATGGCCTATAGCCTGCCAGACTTCTCTGTCCATGGAATTTTTCAGAAAAGAATACTGGAGTGGGATGCCATTTCCTCCTCCAGGAGATCTTTCCAAACCCAGGGATTGAACCCGCGTCTCCTGCGTCTCTTGCACTGCAAGTGGATGTTTTACCACGGAGCCGCCTGGGAAACCTCTTGATTTCATTATTCTTGTATACCTTATCTCCCATTATGAAAATACTGATTTCCAATCACACCAGTGTAATCGTTCATTAGCAGTACCAACAATGTTGGTAATTATTAATATGCTTACTGAAAAATTCATTTGGGGGAGTCTGCAGACTATTTACCTGAGTTGTAATGTTGGTTAGATTACTGTGCTTTATACCCACTTGAAAGAACTTCCTTCTGTGAAGTGTCTTTATCAATTCAATATTTAGTGTTTATTTTATTTTGCTTCCTTTCAGGGATTTAAAAATACTTCATTATCTTTCATAATTATGTAAAATGTTCATAATTATTCTAAAGTCAAATGTACAAAACAAGATGTATTTAAGGGAAGTCTACCTTCTGCCCCATAACTTTGTTTTTTAACTTTTTGTTATGGAAACTTGTGACACATTCATTGCGTTAAAGTAGAGAAACTAGTGTAGTAAAATTCTCAGATATCCATCACTCATCTTCAGCAACTATCAGGTTATTGTTAATCAAGTTATTGTTCATTAGACACCCAATCACTTGTCACACTGTTAATTATAGTAGTTTAAAAATAGGTTTTAATATTTGTTTAGGGTAGTCTTAAGGGCAAGTTGGTATTTTTAAAAGAGGCAGTGTGCCCTACTAGGAGAAATAGATGATTCGTGAAAGTTCTGTAGATGGTAAGAAGTTATGTGGTCCAGAGCTATGAGGAAGGATTTGGCCTTTTAATAGGGTCAAAGACAGTTCATGCACACGTTCTGAGAAGACAGGGACAGATTGGTAACTTTAGAAAGTAGGAAGATAGTTTCTATCTGATTGCCTTATTTTTTTTTTTGGTGAAAGATGAGATAAAGTTACCAGTTGATGAGTGAGGGGTGTCATCATAAGAGGATACTGGAGATCTGAGAGGACAAGAAGGTGAAATATTAGCTGTTGTGCAGAGTGGGATGAACATCCCCAGGAAGGGTGGTGTGGTTGTTAGGCCATGCTGAGGGTCTGCTTATGTGAATCCAGAGAGCTTGTGTTTCTCTCCACTAATACTTTGGCGAGGTACAGATGGGAAGTCAGTGGGTAATTGGTTTTTGCAGGGTGAGTACCTCTGAGGGAGAGTGGTAAGGGATGAAGGTGTTGGAAAGCTGAGTAAGGAAGGAGTGAGGAGAGGGAAGGTGGGGAGGCAGTAAAAATGTGTGGGGGCTTTGGAGAATCAGTAGGAAGGGACAGAAACCAAGGAAGTTCTGGGGATTTAGGTGTCGGTTCACCATTGCTGGGGTGAGTCAGCTTCAACTCTTGTGTTTTCACCTCTTTTTAATTAAGATTCAAATTCTTGGTAGAGAGAAACAGTTAATTAGTCAAATGCCACTTAACTGGGGGGAAGGAAGGGGAGTCATTAATCAGGGGAATTTGCCTGATTGAGAAATCTGGTTCTTAGAATGTGAAGTTTCCTTGTTTCTGTATTGCTCTAGTTGCTATATTATGTAAAGGAGATGCTACTTGCCCAGCTTGTATAATGTCATGTGGAATAACTGCATGCTTTGAAAACAAAGTGTTATGAAACTGGTAAGTAGTGCAGTTAAGCTCAGATGGTGATAATTAAATTCTCAGTGACTACAACTGCCAGTGAATTTCTTTGTGAAACCATATTTGAAGATTTGAAGATCCTGTTTAAGCTTAAAATTAAACTATAAAGCTCAAAGCAAAATAGCTCAATTTATGGGATAAAAAGTGCATATATTAAAATAGCCTGAAAAGTTTTGAGTTGATCTTGTTTCTTATCAGAGTATTTTGGCTTATTGCAAATGATTGGAGTGAAAGCTGTAGAAATTAATGTCATAGCTAGATTTTCTCCTTGGAGTGGTAATTATTCTACCTAATTTCCTGATACTGCAATGCGGGAGACCCGGGTTTGATCCCTGGGTTGGGAAGATCCCCTGGAGAAGGAAATGGCAACCCACTCCAGTACTATTGCCTGGAGAATCCCATGGACAGAAGAGCCTGGCAGGCTACAGTCCATGGGGTCGCAAAGAGTCGGACACGACTGAGCGACTTCACTTACTTTGTTTCACTTTCACCAGAAGAAAGCTTAGCCTAGCAGAAAGTGGAAGAATGTAAAAAACCTAGGGGTGTGGCAGGCAAAGAAGTCGAGTTTGCATTTGAAGTAAAGTTTAATAGTAAAAGGCTTCCCTGGTGACTCAGACTGTAAAAGTGTCTGCCTACAATGCAGGAGACCTGGGTTCAATCCCTGGGTTGGGAAGATCCCCTGGAGAAGGAAATGACAACCCACTCCAGTACTCTTGTCCTGGAGAATCCCATGGACGGTGGAGCCTGGTCAGTTGGGGTTGCAGAGTCGGACACGACTGAGCGACTTCACTTTTCACTTAATAGTAAAATGTTAACTTCAAGTTGCAAAGCTATTGAGATAAGTAAATGCTACTCTTAACAATGGCAAGCAACTGTAATTGGGCTGCACTCATTAAATTAGTAGTGATGGGTTCGGGATTGGAGAGGGATAAAGGAATTGAATGTCTCTGGTTTTGGTAATTGTCTGGACATAGTAGGTATATCATTTGTTATTGAATATAAGTGGCATAATACACAAGAATAGTTAATAACTGCTTTGTTCTTAGACACACAGTTCACCATGTATCTGCATCAGTTTTAATAACGAGTGATTTTAGAATGGGGTCCCATTGCTTTTTGTGTCTTGACTTTTTCCATGCTTACAACTGCCTCTATATCAGCTTTTCAGAATGATGTAAGGAAAAGTAAGTAAAAGTGAATTTACTTTCCTTTTTTCCCTTAGGAGCAGCCACCATATCCTAGTTACAGTACTAGCTATTGGAATTCTACTGCCCGACCTCGGGCTCCTTACCCAAGTACATACCCTGTAAGACTGGAAATGCAAAGCCAGGTATGATCTGAAATTGATAGACTTTCTGAATTTTCTCTTAATGATCTGATTTATTTTCAGAACCTGTGGAAATTTTATAGTAAAGATGTGTGGGGTTTTGTTATGTAATGGAGTCTACTTAATCATTTTAACATTTTAAACTCAGAGATAGGGAGATATCTAGGCAGATACTACGTAAGGCAGAGGTGGCTTGACATATGATAGATTATTTCTCAGGACCTGGAAACAACAAAGGCAAAATGTACCTATTTCTAAAAATGTGTTATTTTATGGAACTATGATTGACATATAATGTTATATTAGTTTCAGGTATATAATGTAAAGATTCAGTATTTATATGCTTTCCAAAATGATCACCACATAAGTCTAGTTAACATCTGTCACCATACGTAGTTACAAATTTTTGTTTTCTTGTGATGAAAAAGTTTTTAATGTATTGTTTTTGGCTGCAGCGGGTCTTCCTTGCTATGCAGGCTTTCTCTAATTGCAGAGGGCGGGGGCTGGTCTCTAGTTGGGTGTGGCACGTGGGCTTCTCATTGCAGTGGTTTCTGTTGCGATGTACCAGCTCTAGGGTGCGAGGGCTTCAGTAGTTGCAGCTTCTGGGCTCTAGAGCACCGGCTCCGTAGTTGTGGTGAACGGGCTTAGTTGCTCTGTGGCATGTGGGATCTTCCCAGATCAGGGATCAAACCATGTCCCCTGCAGGGGCAGGCAGATTCTTTACCACTGAGCCACCAGGAAAGCCTCTGTGATGAAAACTTTTGAGATAAACTCTCTCAGTCAGTTTTTAAATGTACAATGCAATATCTAACTATAGTTAGTAGAGTACACATTGCGTTCTGTGGTTTATTTACTTTCTAACTGGAAGTTTGTACCTTTTGACCAGCAACCCACTGCTCCACCTCTGGAACCACCAGTCTGTTGTCTGTGTCTGTGAGTTGGCCTTTTTTGTTTGTTTGCTTTTTAGGTTTTACATATAAATGAGATCATGCAGTATTTGTGTATCACATTTAACTTAACGCCTTCAGGGTCCATCCATGTTGTCCCAATGGCAAGATTTCCTTGGTTTTTTGCTTGAATAATACTCCATTGTGTGTGGGTATATCTGTCTCACTTTGTCTTCATTCATTCTTCCACTGCTGGACATTTAGGGTGTTTCTGTGTCTTGGCTATTTAAATAATGCTGCAGTGAACATGGGGTACTTTTTAAGTTGGTGGTGTTGTTCCCTTTGAACATATTCCCAGAAATGGAATTATTGGATCATACGGTAGTTCTGATTTTAGTTTTCTGAGGTACCGCCATACTGTTTTCCATAGTGACTGTGCCAGTTTACCTTCCCATCAACAGTACACAAGGGTTTCCTTTTCTCAGCATCCTCATCCAGTACTTCTTGTCTTTTTGAGAATAGCCACTCTGATAGGTATGAGGTGGTGTGTCACTGTGATTTTGATTTGCGTTTCCCCGATGAGGAGGGATGTTGAGCATCTTTCCGTGTGCCTGCTGGCCATCTGTGTGTCTTTGGGAGAATGTCTATTCAGACCCTCTGCCCGTTTAAAAAAGCTTTCGTGTATGATGGCACATGGCATGCAGGGTCTTGGTTCCCCAATCAGGGACTGAAGCTGAAGTTAGATTTACATCTCATATGTGTTTTTATGCTTTTACTATTTGTATATGCATTTTTTTTTCATTTATTTTTATTAGTTGGAGGCTAATTACTTTACAACATTGCAGTGGGTTTTGTCATACATTGAAATGAATTAGCCATGTGTATATGCATTTTTATAGTACAACTGAACATTTTTAAAACATTTTATTTTAAAAACATATCAAGTTTTTAAACTTGATGTAAGTGGTTTCATCCTAGCATTCCCTTGCACCTTGCTTTTTTTAACTCAACATTGTTTTTCCCTTTTCTTTTGTACAACATACAAGACAAGCATTTCCCTAGTGTGTGGAATTGGTGAGTTTGGGTATGTACATCTTTATTTAATATAGCCAAATTACTTTTCACAGTGATTAGAGAGCCAAGAACTCCTTTATTTTCTTTGCTGCCAACCTACTCTTCAGAAGATTTAAAAACGCTGAAACATCTCTGAACTGTGATCATTAGCTCATGCTTAGTCATGGTCTGTAACGATTGCAAGGCTAATACATGTTCTTCTGACTCTGGTTGTTGTAATCATGCATGTTGTAGCTCTGATCTATTGACCCAGAGGGTACTTGGGAAAAGTATGATAAACACACAGGTTTTCTAGTAATGATTGTGGTGGGGGGTCTTTGGTTTGCTTGCCTGACTGGGGATCAAACTCTGTGCCAAAGCAGAGTCTTAACCACTGGGCCAGCAAGGAAGCTGGGCCAGCAAGGAAGTCCCTGTGGTGGTTTGTTTTCTGTTGTTTGTTTAAAGTCCTCTCATTGGTCACAAATGCGACTTGTTTTTCTAAAGCTGCTTTCCCACGTATCTAAAGGATGAAAGACAGATGTTTTCACATTGATTTTCTGATGATGAAGATAATTCTCCTGACTTCTGGAAGATTTCACCACAGAACACCGAGTGCCTGGGAACAGAAATGCTCAAAGAAAGACAACTGAAGTCCTCTTATAATGTTCTAAATTTGAGAAATCAAGATACAAAAGGACTTTGGTCAGAACCTGTAATACCTTTTCATTTAATTTAAAGGAGAACTGGGTTGTCAAATACAACTTACTAAGTATCATGGTTTGGAGCTCCTGTGAGACAAAAATTGAACCAGTTCTGTAAGTAGAGATGCTGCTTGAGGAAGTGACCAGTGGAGGATGATAGACTGGGCAGTTCCAAAAGCGAGTGTCAGCAGAAACTCAAGTTGGTGTTGACTGCTGATAATTGTGAAGGCTCGGAGTCCTTTTTGTGGTGAAGCTTTCCATGTTTTTCAAGATAAGCACTACAGGAGGAATTGTGGTGTTGCTAATGGAAAAGTAATTTTTCCCACTTGGATTGGGTCTGTTTGCTGTTTGATAGTCATATATACCAAATGGGAAGGGAATCCATTAACAGTGCATCACTTTCTGGGTAAGAGACCTGGTCACTTTTCTCCCCTTTGGATTCTACATCTATAAGCAGTCCATCAATTGTAAAATCAACTTTTGGAAGAAGTATTTCCTCCTGGATAATCTTCAGCTTGCAGTGAGACACCATATGGTGTGACAGTATTTTGACTTTCAAATGCTGAGTCATATTTACATTTACCTCTAGAACAAAAGCAGCACTTGGAATATGTTTTGAGTTTTAAAAGCTCCAGTCTCTTGATTTCTTCTGGAATCCAGAATGAGACTTCTACAGAAATTCAGTGACTGTCAAAGATTTTGCTTAATTCTCCTTATAGTGGATCAGTTTCAGATTTTATGTGTTGCCATATCAGCTGACAGGTTTCAAATCCCAGCTTGCTGTCTTTAGATACAAGTTTCCCTTTATGAAAAAATTGGACTAGATGGAAGTAGCTATGTTCTGTGCAGCCCACTAGACATACTTGGGATTTTGTGACTTTTTTTTTTTTTGATGTGACATTTTTAATAGGATAATTTTTTTCTATAAAAATAATGCAACTCTATTACTAAATACTTGGGAAATAAAAGAGAGAAAAGCCACTAACTGTCATCATAGTATGTCCATATTTTGGTAAATTTGTTTTCAGTCTTCTCCCTATTGTATTTACCCAGTTTTAAACTTATTTTACATATACTTTTTAACATTACTTTTTGGTTTTCATATGTTCTTGTTACAGGGTGAAATGACAGGAATTTTTTTTTTCCTTTTTAATAGTAAAGAAATTTTCAAACATAATCCAAAGTAATGGGATAGCACAGTGATCTCCGTAGAGCCCTTACTCAGCTTCAGAAAGTATCATTAATACATGGCCCTCATGTTTCATCCATGTTCTTAATGAGCTTTGAAGAAAATTCTAGATATCACATTATTTCTCTTGTAAATACTTAAGTATGTATCTTTAATATACAGGGACATTTTTAAAACATTACCACAATGCCACTATTAAAACTTAAAAAACACTAAAAATAATTCTTTAATGTCAATAGATGTCTGGTCAATTCTACAGTGAATTTTAAGACAGAATAAAATTCCTTCAATGAATAGCCTATAATTGACTTAATCATTCCATCAGTACAGGACGTTTAGGTTGTTTTCGATACTGCGTGATGGTGACTCATGCTCACAAATCCATGCTTATAACTTTTTCTCTGGTTGAATCATTTCCTTAGGAAGGATTTCTAGAAGTTGAAAAACAGTACAAACAGTCACATTTTTTAAAATCATCTTCAGCTGCGTATGTTGTATAAGGACTTTATTTTGGGGGGGGGGTGTGCCCTGCAGCGTGGGGGCCTTAGTTCCTCCACCAAGGGTCGAATCCCTGCCCCTGAGTTGGAGAGGCAAGGCTTAACCACGGGACCACCAGGGAAGGCCCTGTCCCTCCTTTTGATGTGGTAGATTTGGAATCAGATTTAAATTTCATTTTCTTCAGTTATTAACAACTACAGAAGGTATCAGGTTTCTACTCTTTTTTTTTTTTTTTTGGAGGACAAGGAAAGAGTGGCTTTATTTCTTTGCCAGGCAAAGGGGGAACACAGAGGAATAGTGCCTCAAGAATTGTGCCCCTTTCCAGGTGAATTATTGTTGTTATTTAGTCACGGATTCATGTCTGAACCTTTTGCGACCCCATGGACTGCAGCCTGCCAGGCTTCTCTGTCCATGAGATTTCCCAGGCAAGAATACTGGAGTGGTTTGCCATTTCCTTCTCCAGGTTTCTACTCTTTTAATTGAGGTATAATTGACATTTAGCATCCATTTCAGATGTATAACATAATGATTTGATATTTGTATACATTATCAAATGATCACCAAAATAAGTCTGTTTTATTATCACAAGATTCTTTTCTTATTCTCCTACCTAAAATGGGAAAGACTGTCTAGTTTTAGAAGGATGAGTCCAGGAAAAGTTGATTTCATTTTTACCATCTTAACAAGGTAGAGTAGAAATAATGGAAAACCTGAAGGTAATCATTTAAAGTTTAGCTTTAATCTTATTTGGATTACTAAACTGAAGATTTTAGGTATCAATAGTAGTCTGGATAGGTGATGTAAAACTTTAGGTATCAGTTATTGAGCATACTATGTGCCAGACACTGTACTGAGCTTTATATATGTCATCTCATTTAATTTTTACAATAACCCTGCAGAATAAGTTCATGGTTTCCATTTTCCTGCTTGAAAAAGTAGAGTAAACACAAAGCCTGTGGCAGGGCTCAGTCTGTCTCTGTGGTCTTTTTTTCTTTCTGTTGTATCAGGGTCCTTTTCTTCTTTCTTTAGCCATTCTGCCAGGTTTCCCAGAACAGCCTCCCTCCTGTTAGGTGTGACTGTCAGGTGTTCTTATGAAAATGGTTAATAGCACAGCCCTAAGGCCATTACTTCATCTTTCACACAATATACCTTCCCATTGTTAGGACACAGGCTCTAAAGTGATAATATGAGTTTAATATATGTATACGATTATAATATAAGAACACCTCTCAAGCATTGCTTAGGTAGTTGATATTTTCATTACTCATCTCCTTTCTTCCCAAAGTTCTCAGAGTGAGGGCATTTCAGCTGTTGTACTCATTCATCTTTTTTATCCCAACTTTGCTTTTTCCAGAGTTTGAATTCTTATACAAATGGGGGATATGGCCCACCATACCCCACTGGCCCGGGGTCAAATACTGCCTCATACCCTGGGGCCTATTACACACCTGGGTATGCTCAGACCAATTACTCCACAGAGGTTCCAAGCACTTATCGTTCACCTGGCAACAGCCCAGCCCCAGTCTCCCGTTGGATGTACCCCCAGCAGGACTGCCAGACTGAAGCACCCCCTCTTAGGGGGCAGGTTCCAGGATATCCTGCTTCACAGGTGAGCACTCTTCTGTCGTCTTTTTAGTTTTTAACTATTAATGAATGGTACCAAGTTTATTTCTCTGTTGACTTCAAGAGGTTAGGTTTATATTTTTAAATATTTTAGGAATCTCTGTTCACTTCCCGGGGAGTTCTAGGATGTCTTCATTTGTGTTTCCTGATAGCATTTATTTCTGGTATCTGAGGGACAGACTTACGCTGTGCTTTAGCTGTTAAAGTTTAGGCCCTATTCTTTCTGAGCTTGACGGTCACCAAACCTGCCCCTGGTATCTTTGGAACCAAGCTTTTGTAGGCTTGGAGAAGTTATTGCAACTGTTAAGAAATACTCCAGTTTAACCCTGTAGCAGCTGAAGTATACTCTGTTAAGCGGAGAGGAGGCAGCTCAGGATCTGTTTACACTAGAATATTTTCATTACTTCTTTAAGTGTTTTTTTAGCAATGACCAGCATATTTCCTTCCTCTCAACCCAGAACCCTGGAATGAGCGTACCCCATTACCCTTATGGGGATGGTAATCGTAGTGTTCCACAACCAGGACCAACTGTTCGACCCCAGGAGGACTCATGGGCGCCTCCAGGTGCTTATGGAATGGGAACCCGGTACCCCTGGCCTTCAGCTGCGCCCTCAGGACCACCGGGGGGTCTCTACATGAACGAGGGCACTTCCTCATGGCCTAGCAGTGGCTCTCCTCAGCCACCTGCTTCACCGCCACCCCCACAGCCTAAGGTAGGACACCTGCTAAACCTTGTTCTTTGAATGTTGGGGTAATCAAGAGAGCATAATATGGGATTTCTCTGCATCGGCCTGTGTTAAGTAGGGGGACTAGTTTCAAAAACCTGGTGGCCACCACCTACAACTTTATGTAGCCCAGTTCCCCCCCACCTTTTTAAAAATAGACTTTATATTTTAGAGCAGTTTTAGGTTCATTTCCTTTTTTTAAAAAGACAGGAAAGTGCTCATTTTCTTATAAGTTGTAATACTATCTGAATGTTAAAATCAAAGATTAGATTTGTTACCTCTATCTCCAGACAGAAGATAAAACCAATGTGAAATAGCATGGTTTTATTAAACTGTACACTTAAACATCATTTGCTTGTGGCCAGGTTCCTTTTTAAGATTTGTCTTCAGGTTTTCTCTCTCAAGGGGAACGGACTATCTAATTCCCATTTATTAAGTCACTGATCAGATTGTGAGGTGATAAAGATAGATTATGAGGTGTTCATGATGATGACCTACCTCAGGGTAGATTCCAGCCTGTATACTCAGGAATTCTCTGCCTTTTATCTTTTCAGAGCTGTATTTTCCTCAAATGGTTAAAGAGGGCTGTCCAGTTTTATTGGTGGGGAATCTTTTCATGTACCTTCCTGGTCGGGTGGGAGATGGGGGCTAACAAATCTGATGCTGATGGACTCCCATTAAAGGAGCTTTTCTCCCCTCTCTGCTCTCCCGCTCCAAGGACGACTCCTACACCTACAGCCCGCCAGAGCGAGGCGTGAGCCGGCACAGCTTCCCTTGCAGCGCCCATCAGTACGAGCCCGCGGGGTCAGTGAGCGATGCCAGTTCAGAGCTTTCGGATCCCCAGGTCCAGTATAGTGCCGAGCCTCATCTGTACGGTGATGCCACCCACGGACATCCCAGCACTCAAGACCAGGGCAATCATCTTGCTGAAGAGGGTTTATCTTCAGATGAAGGGACTCCCCCAAGCATTAAAAAAATCATACACGTGCTGGAGAAGGTCCAGTATCTTGAGCAAGAAGTAGAAGAGTTCGTAGGAAAAAAGACAGACAAAGCCTACTGGCTTCTGGAAGAGATGCTAACCAAGGAACTTCTGGAACTGGATTCAGTTGAAACTGGGGGCCAGGACTCCATCCGGCAGGCCAGGAAAGAGGCGGTTTGTAAAATCCAGGCCATACTGGAAAAATTGGAAAAAAAGGGATTATGAAGGGATTTAGAACAGAAGGGGAGCCTGTTACTAACTCGACCAAAGAACTCTTGATTTTGGTTAATTACCTTCTTTTGAAATGCCTGTTGACGACAAGAAGCAATACATTCCAACTTTCCTTTAATAGAAAACTTGAAAAACTGGTAAAGGACTTGGAAGAACAGTTGGGTTATGAGTTGTTTTCAGACCAGTGAATGTATTAGGGAGCTCTTGGGTTATTGGTATTGCCAAGTAGACTTGCCCAGTAAGAAATATATGGGTGGAAAAAAAAAAAAGAAATACATGGGTGTCCTGGGCAAGCTGCTGCTTATCAGCAGGAGGGGAATTCACCTTATGTAACAGGCTCCTCAGAAACCTACAGGATAAGACTGGATGTTCTTTGGACAGGCTCTGTTTTTTTAAACATCTGGATTACTTGTCACATTTTTGTACATTGTAACTGCTTTCACCGTACACTCTGTGTGTAAATTACAGCTTGGACTTTAGCCTCCTTGGACCTCTGTTTTGTTTTGTTATTTGCAGTTCACAAATATAGTATGATTCTCTATTTCTTGGTATATTTTGTAGTAATATGTTTAATATAATTACTCAAGAGACTGTACTGACAGCCAGATAGTATGGCAGTTCTGGATAAATTTGTACCCTTTCACCACTTGAATATATTGCACTGTGTAGTGAGTTTCTGAGGTAGATTGTCTCCTTTTTTTGTATAGATTATCAGGTTAGAGTTTTACCACTTCTATTTTTCTTGTTACCATCAGAAGGTTAATTTGGAAATGGCATGCCTATAGGAATGAAAATGTGGGCATATTCTTTTTTGTTTTCTTCATTGTATTTAGATGAAGCTTCACTTTAAAATTTCCTCCCCCCCCCCATTGTCTTTTTACTATAGCTGCTTCCATACGGAGCAATGTGATGAACACAAATGAAAAACGCCATGGCGAGTAGGAATAGTCACTGCAAAAGTAATAAGCACAACCATTTGGGAATGCTATTCTCCATCTAAAATAGTAGCTTCACCATCAGGGTCCCTATGAGCAGACTTCAGCTCAGCTTATCTGCAGCTTCACCATCAGGGTCCCTATGAGCAGACTTCAGCTCAGCTTATCTGCTCAGTGTACAGTAAGGTATGCAGAGGGTAAAAGGGGATTCATGCTCTGGGGCTGAATCAGCCACAGCGGGAAATTATGTTCTTTTAAAGGCAGATGTGATGGTTAGCTTTGTTTCCCTAGAATAAATTGTGTAGACAGTATTGCCTGTTTTATAAAAAAGATGTTTACCACCACTAATAACAGTCACTTCAGAGCCACAGTTAAGGAAGCGATACTGAAAGGGTCTTAGCTGGATTTGTTTGGATGGTGGTTGTTCACTCACTCAGTCGTGTCCGACTCCTATGCAAATCCATGCACTGTAGCCTGCCAGGCTCCTGTGTCCATGGGATTCTCCAGGCAAGAATACTGGAGTGAGTTGCCGTTTCCTTCTCCAGGGGATCTTCTCTTCCCTGGGATCAAACCCATGTGTCCTGCATTGGCAGGAGGATTCTTTCCTCCTAAGCCACCAGGAAAGCCCTTTGCTTGGGTGGCTCTAAGCTGTCATGTAGAAGAGACTTAGGTACTTACTTTTTACATCTGAAGTGAGTTCCAGTATATAGTGTGTTATTGGAAAACCTGCTATTTCTTAATAAGATATCCAAGTGATAATGTGTTTTTTTCCCCTTTTGACTGCCAGGTCTATTAATAAGAAAACAAATCTTTCAGCCATTTTCTCTCCTTATTTAAAAAAAACAAAAACCAATACAAACATATGATGAGAAGAATTAAGAGTAAAAATAGTGACTGGGTCTTAGGTTGGTATGAGTGATTTTATGAGATAATATGGTGCCAATTTTATTCAAGGATTTTTATTTGTGGCCTAATATAGGAATGTTAAAGGCTTTTTTATGAAAATTTAAAAGTTGAAACAAATATTAGAAGGGGGAGAACCTTAAAGCTCATAAACCAGTGAGACAATGACTGATACAGGCAAGAACACTATTTTTTAACTGAGTACCCACAATACCAGTTTCCCTGAAGTCTTGATTTATTTATATACACATACATATGTGTATATGTTTTTTAACAGTTATTTAAAAAAATTTTTTAGATAATTTTAGACCTCCTGAAGAGTTGTAAAAACAGCAGTTTCTGTATACTCTTCACTAATGATCCCTTTATATTAACATCTTACATAACTATAAAACATTTGTCAAGTTAAGAAATTAGCCATGATACAATACTATTAACTAAAGAGAGAGTTTGGGAAAGTAGAGATTTTCTTAGTCTTTTCACTAATGCCCTTTCTCTGTTTCAGGATCCAATCCAGGATCCTGCCTTGAATTTAGTTGTCATGTCATCATAGTGTCCTCTGATCTGTGACTGTATCCTTGACCCCTGATGCGGTAATGTATTTCTGGTGTTATTAACCTTAGCCACTACCTAAGGTGGTGTCTAGGATTCGCTACTGTAAACGTACTGTGTTTTTCTTTGTAGTGACTGAATGTTTGCTGGAGATAACATGAGCTATGCAAATGTCCCATTTCTGCTTAAACTTCAGCCCACTCATTTTTTAATCCATTGGCAGATCTTGCTTGTGTCGATTACTACTGTGGGGTTCCAGTGTGACTTTGTTTCTTGAAGTCCTTCTACATTTATTAATATCCTCCCTTCTTAAGGGAGGGCTATTGCTTCTGGATTTATAGTTTTAATTATAATAAGATGTTTAGGATAAGTAGACTTAGAACTTAAAGATGTAAACCATTTAAAAATGATTCTAAATGCCAGTGTCAAGGAAAGGAAAACTAAATTAGCAACCTCTTCCAGAAAATACAGTGAACTTAAGGAAAATTAGTATTCATTTTTTTGTGTGTGTGGATTTGATTCAGTTCTTGACTTAGTATTCACTCCAGACTGAATTAAAAATGTTTTTGATATTTCAAATCTGGACTTTTTAAAAAAGTGTCTAAGTTTAATATTACTTTGGGGATAATTTTTGTGAAAATCTTGAATTTACCCAGATCTGGCATGTTAAACACAACTATCTCTTTTTTTATAATAACCACTATTGTTCCAAATACAAATGCCAGTATAAACATTTATACAAGTAAGTCCTGACGAAGTATCAGTGGCGTGGGCTAGTCTCTGCATTCTTGGTGGGGAATTCTTCCAAATACTTTGAAAAATAGGGCTTTTAAAGCTGATTTTTAGCTGGTTAACGTAATACCATTAGAGGTAGGAAGATTTTTAAGTTTAAGAATATAGATTAAATTGGCATTAAAATTTTTTGGGGGACGGATATTTGATGACTGGAGCTTTTCATCTTTTTTCTTTTTAAAAAAGTTATGCTTTTAAAGACTCAAATAATTCTATAGAAGCTAGCAATTTGAAGTTTATGAAAAGGAGCTCTCTTCTGTCACACTCTCATTTTTCCTTCTACAAAAATAACCACTTTAAGTTGAGTTTTTTAAAAAAATTCTCTCCATGTTTTTTTAACTTTTTAAAAAAATTTGAAAATAAATTAAAAAATAAAATTTGGCTGCACCGGGCTTGTGGGATGTTAGTTCCCCGACCAGGAAACGATGACTCTGTGGCCTCCAGCAGTGGAAAGTGTGGTCCTAACCACTGGACCACCAGGGAAGTCCCAGTATTTTTAATAACACAGTTGTATTTCTCCCTCTTGATTTGTCAATTTTAGGCTATTTCTACTTATTTTCTATTGTAGAAGATGATGGTCAGGTCTCTCTGCCTCCACCATATACACAATCGCAGCCCTCCTCCCACCAGTTTCTCCATCCACTTAAATGGTAGTTCTGTTGTTCATTATTATACTATGTAATGCTGACCAGAGCTTATTCATGTAGTAAACTGGTTACTTTTCCTGAACAACTCCTGGAATTGCAAATGAATGAATTTCCCTGAAATGAATCCTTTGCCTTACTTGGTTTGCTGATGTACTTATGACTGATTTGACCTCAAACCCTCCATCACTTGTCTAAATCTTAAGATGCTCAGACATATTTGGTCAGTTTCAGGCTCCTGAAGAAGCTGTGCTGGGGGGCCCTCTGATGGGAGGATGGTTGTGTTCCTGGTGCATACTTATATTCTGGTGTCTTCTGTTCATCCTGGGGATTCTCTCCTCCTTTTCTGTTGGATTCTTTTTTTCCTACAATCTGTGTGTTTCTCTTTCTTAATGTGTTCCCTCATTTTGGTCGAGTCTGTTCTCCAGTAGCTTTCTGAAAAAGGTGCATAGGAAATAATTTTTTTTAATATCTTGCTTATTTGAAAGTGTGTTTTCATGATGCTTTGTTTAAAACTTGGTTTTTCTTTTTGGAAGCTTGTAGGCTATTTTTGTCCCCTCTGTTCTGAAATTTCCTAACAGTATAACATTGGTGTGGGTCTGTTTTTTGTCCATTTTCCTGGGCATACTTCATTCTGGAGACACCTGCCCTTAAGTCCTATAACATTTTCTCAGGTTCTTTGTTTCTCTTACCTGTCCGCTACCCTCATTTCTGTTACCTCTTTTTAAAATTCTTGCTGTTTCTGTTATGAATCTCTTAGCCTGATTCTTTGATTGACTTGTCTTTTCACTTGAATTTTCTGCCTTCTTGCTGTCTTTGTGGGAGATTTACTCACCTTTATCTTCCAACTCACCACTGAATTTTACATTTCCATCTACCACATTTTTAGTTTCTAGGAATTTTTTGTTCTCTGTGATTCTGCTCTTGTTTGTGGGTTGTAGCATCTTGTATCTCTGAGAACATTAATGATAATTTCTTCATATTTGTTTCATCTTGAATAACGAATTACCTACAAATTGCTTTTCCCTTTCTATTTAGATTGCCATCGTTTTCATGTTAGAGTTTTTTTTCAGATGTCTTTTAGTTCTTGGTTGTATTTTTATACTGGAGACCATTGTTCTACTGGAGACTCAAAATTGCTTCTAGAAAACGCTTCGTGACTATTCTGTTAAATTATTTTTTCATACTCTTTTTTGGAAAGAATATCTGTTTTAAATGGAAATTGAGAAGGGAGGACTGTTTGGATAACTTTTACTCCTCTGTGAAAAGAGGAGGGTTTTACACTCTATGTGGCTCTTCTCATCAAGAGTAGTGGGCAGTTAGCTTACAGTACAAAATGTGAGACAACAGCTACTGAGAAGGGGGGATTTAGGGGTTTCTGAGATCAGAGCACATTTAAAAACAACTTTTAAATGTTCTTTTATTTTGCAATATACACCTTATCCTGGTAGAATGCCAAGGGTAGTGTTGCCAGATAAAATATAGGACTCTCAGTTACATTTGAATTTCAGATAAACAACAACTCATCTTTTAGTATCAGTGTGTTCCACATATTGCATGGGACATAATGATACTAAAAGTAATTTTTTTCTGAAATCCAAAATAACTAGGGATATAGTCTCATCCCTCAGTATGGGTGGGGGATTGGTTCCAGTACAAAAACCATGGATGCTCAAGTCTCTTATATAAAAAATGGTGTAGTATTTGTATAAAACCTAAGTTTATCCTCCTGTATACTTCAAATCACCTTTAGATTAGTTATAATACTTAGTACAATGTAAATGCTATGTAAATAGTTGTAAATACAGTGTAAATGCTGTGTAAATAGTTGCTGGATGTGTGGCAAATTCAAGTGTTTGCTTTTTGGAACTTGACTGGATTTTTTTTCTTTCTTTCCAAATATTGCCAACTCATAGTTGGCTGAATCTGTGAATGTGGAACCCATGGATAGGAGTGCCAACTGTATTGTATTCTTTCTTTCTTTCTTTTTTGGCCATGCTGAGCAGCTTGTGGGAATCTTAGTCCCCACCCAGGGATTGAAGCTCAGCCCTCAGCAATGCAAGTGTGGAGTCCTAACCACTGGACTGCCAGGGGACGCCCTGTATTGTATCTTTTTAATTAAAGTTTTTATTTTGAGATAATTTGTTAATTCACAGACGGTTTTCTGAAATAATGCAGAGCTTTCCTGTGCCCCTTACCCAGTTTCTTCCAGTGGTAACATCTCACAAAGCTTCACTGCCACGTCACCACCAGGATGTGGACATTGATGCGGAACAAGATGCAGAACAGTCCCGTCGCCACCGCCGTTGCTCCTGTTGACCTTTCACAGCCACACCTGCTTCTCCTTTCCCTCCACACTATATCCGTGGCAGTCACAAACTCCTTCTCCATTTCTGAATTCTGTCATTTTGAGAATGTTAGAGAAATAGATTTGTATCATATGTGATCATTAGAGATTGTTTTTTTTGCCCACTCAGCAGAATTCTCTTGACATTCATCTAAGTTGTTTCCTGTATCTATAGTTCTTTTTTATTGCTGATTAGTAGTCTGTGATGTGGATGTACCTTTGTTCAACCATTCACCTGTGGAAGGACATCTGGGTGGTTTCAGTTTGGGGCTGTTATGAATAAAGCTGCTATGTACATTCATGCACAGGTTTTTGTGTGGACATGGTTTTCATTTCTTTGGGATAAATGCCCAAGAGTGCAATTCTGGGTCATATGATATGTGCATGTTTAATTTTTTAGACTACTAGACTTTCCTAAAAGTGAAGTTGTCCTGTTTGCATCCCCACCAGCAGTGTGGGAGTTTCTCTGTATCCTTGCCAGCATTTGGTGGTCTCACTTTTTTGTTTTGACCGTTCTGATCAGTGTGCAGTGATCATCTCACTGTGCTTTAACTTGCATTTCCCTAATGGTTAATGATGTTCAACCTCTTCTTGTGCTTATCTGCCAGTTGTATATCCTCTTCTGTAAAAATGTCCCTGTGTGTTTTTTGCCCATTTTCTAACTATTTATTTTAATAAACTTCTTATTTTAGAATAGATTCATAGAGGAATTATGATATATAGAGATCCCACATACAGTACACCGATTATTAAGATGTTAGTGTTGCATATTTGTCACAACTAATGGATCAGTACTGATACATTCTTATTGACTAAAGTCTATACTTTATCCAGATTTTCTTTGTTTTTACCTAACACTGTTTTCCTCTTGCAGGATCCCACCGAGGATACCGTATTACATTGAGTCATCATGTTTCCTTAGGAGCCTCTTGGCCATGACAGTTTCTCAGAATTTCCTTGTTTTGTTTTGGCCTCACTGTGAGGCTTGTGAAATCTCAGTTCTTTGACCAGGGATTGAATCCGGGTTTGGGTGGATAGCATAGAGTCCTGACCACCAGCCCACCAGGGAACGCCTGTGACTTTCCTTGGTTTTGATGACCTCTGTTATCTTTTTTTTTTACCTCTGTAATCTTGAGGAGCGCAGCTCTGATGTTTCATAGAATGCCCCTCAACTGGGATTTATTTTGTCTGATGTTTTTCTCCTGATCACACTGGGGCTTGTGTTTTGGGGAGGAAGACCACAGAGGTAAGTGCCCTTTCTCATCAGACATCAAATGGCTATACTATCAATGGAGCCTATCCTGTTGATGTTAACTGTCATTGCTTGGCTCAGGTAGAGCTTGGCAGGTTTCTCCACTACAGTCTTTCTGCCCCGCTCCCCGCCCCCCCGAAACTGTATTCTTTGGAAGATAGTCCCTGCATGCAGTTCTACATGTGGGGGTGGGGAGTTATCCTCCAACTCATTCAGAGTATTTATTGGTTAATTCTTAGAATCTCCCTGCAAGGTATATTTGTTCATTCTCTCCCATTTATGTATTTCTTTATATCCGAATGGACCCATATTTATTTATTTTATACTTTGTGTTATGATCTAGTGCTACCTTATTTACTTTTGGCCATTGGAAGCTCTCTCAGTTGTGTCTTTTTGACATATATACATACCCCCATCATTGTGTGGGGCTTTTTTTTTTTTTTTTTTTTTTGAGCCCTCCTTTCTGGCACTACATGGTTCTCCAGGCTCATTTTGTATATTCCTGTTTAGTCCTAGAAGCAATTATTCCTCCTCCGTGTTCCTGAAGAACGGCATTGAAACCAAATTTGGGTTCCATTGATTGTCTTTTCACTGTTGAGTTTTGAGACTTGTTTGTTTTCTAGATACTGGTCTTTTGTTAGATTGGTGGTTTGCAATATTTTATCCCAATCTGTGGCTTGGCTTTTCATCCCGCTAACAGTTTTTCACAGAGCAAAAGTTTTTGATTTTGATGAAGTCCTATTTATTAATTTTTCCTTTTAAGGACTTTTGGTATCAAGTCTCTGAGAACTCATTATTCTTCCAGAAGATTTTCTCTGATTGTTTCCTGGAAGTGTTTTGTTTTACTTTTGCACTTGGTGCATTTGCATATGCTCTCTGACAACCCTAGCCCAGAGGAAACCTTGGTCTGATGGAAACCTCCGGGGGCCTGAGGAGAGACGCCTTGCTGCACAGTTTCAGTTGAGGTTATCAGCTCAAAACAGTCTTCACTGAAATAAGAGACAACACAAGGAAAAGTCCAAGTCACTCTCCTCAAAGTGAAAAAACTAAAAGCTAAGATTACTTAAGTTGGGGGCAAAAGTATTCAGTTTTGGGTATAAAGTAATAAAATGCATTCTTAGGAATGGTTTATGAACTTATAAAAATCGCCAACTTTGGGCTGGAAAAGAACATCACTCTGATGTCTTTGTGGTTCTCTTGTTCTAACCTTTTATAAACGAAGTCAGTACATGGTACTTGCCTCACAGCGGCAGCCTGTGTAATTAAAATGTAGAGTCATGACCCCTCTGATTAACTAGGATATGGATCTGAAATGTAAAGAATCTATTTAGCACACTCTTCTGGTGGCTCAGATGGTAAAGCGTCTGTCCACAATGCCGGAGACCTGGGTTTGATCCCTGGGTCGGGAAGATTCCCTGGAGAAGGAAATGGCAACCCTCTCCAGTATTCTTACCTAGAAAATCCCATGGACGGAGGAGCTTGGTGCAGGCTACTGTCCATGGGGTCGCAAAGAGTCGGGTACGACTGAGCAGCTTCACTTTCACTTTCTGATCATCAGTTTGAGAATCACTGTCTCAGCCCAAGGCCCTGGCCTTGTTATCTTAGAGTCAGTGCATCAGAGACATCTGTGGAGTTGTCTCAACTTCTGATGCCTAAGTGTCCACCAGGGATTGAGAACCTCTCCAGACACAGCCTGTCCTCAGAGCACTTAGTGCCTTGATAGGCACTCCACACAATACCTTTTTAATATTGAAATATGACTTATTCTGGAAAGAAGTGGGAAACTTACAATTTATACTTCTTAAGGCAGTGTTTCTCAAAGTGTGGATCTCATGCTATCTGCTTCCAAATCACCTAGAGGGCTTGTTTAAAATGCAGATTCCTATTGAGACTGTGAACTCCTTCAGGGTAGGTATTGTTATTCCAAGCTCCAGATTAGGCACATTTAATTGTTGTATAGTTCTCAAAGGGTGGTCCTAGATGGCTGGGAGTCTTAGAGATCCCTTTAAGGGTCACAGGATGAAAACTTTTCCTAATAGTACCAGGATATGATTTGCTTTTTTTTTTTTTTTTTTTGCTGTGTTGCTGCCATTTGCACTCTTGATGGAAAATCAGTGGTGGGCAAAATGGCTGGTGCCTTACCAGGAATTAAGGCAGTGGAAACAAATTGTGCTATCGGTCATTGTATTGTCCACTGTCATGCATTTGCTAAAAAAAAGCCAGTTTCACTTAAAAATATGCTTCATGAAGAGTTAAGTTACTAATTTTACTAACTCTAACCCTTGAGTTCACACCTTTTTTACATTCTATGTGACAAAATGGTTAGGATGCATGAAACAGTTCTGTGGGCTGAAGTACGCTGGTGAAAAAGGGTTTCCAGACCCAATTTCACTTTGTGTGTGGAGGCCTCCCCACACCAACAAGCAATTCTTGAACCCCAGCAGGGTGTCCAGGAATTCAAGTCACTTCTGACACTGTCTGCCGGGTACAGAATCCCATTCCACAGGTAAAGGGTTCAGCCCCACGGGACCATCCTCCACTCCAGGTGCCAGTCATACACCCAGGTCGTTACCTGTGCTTCTGACGGACTGGCTGTAAATCAGAGGTTCCCCTGACTTGCTCCTCAGCTTCAATTAACTTGCCAGGACGGCTCACAAATCCCAGGAAAACCCATTTATTTACTAGATTTCCAGTTTATATATAGGGTATGATATATAGGGCATGGCCTAGTGGAAGGGGGTGGGGCTTCCATGCCATCTCCAGGTGCATGGCTCTCCCTTAATCTTCACAGGTGTTCTCCAACCTGGAAGCTCTTTGAACCCTGACCTCTGGATTTTTAGTGAGGCTTCATTGCAAAGGCATGACTAAGTCATTGGCCATTGGCCACTGATTCAACCTTCAGCCCCTCTGCTCTCCCCCAGAGGCTGGGCATTGGGACTGAAAGTTCCCACCTTCTAATCACATGGTTGATTCTCCAGAGAAGCAGCTCCCCCACTTTCTATCTCAGTCACTTTCCCTGAGCTGTTTTTAGGACCTGAGGAGTAGAGCTCAAATATTATCCCACTGCTTTTATAGCTCAGGAAAGTCCAACGGTTTGGAGAGCTGTGAGCTAGGAATTGTGAATTGAATATATCTGAATGGGGCTTCCCTGATAGGTCAGTTGGTAAAGAATCCGCCTGCGATGCAGGAGACCCCGGTTTGATTCCTGGGCTGGGAATATCCCCTGGAGAAGGGATAGGCTACCCACTCCAGTATTGGGCTTCCCTTGTGGCTCAGCTGGTAAAGAATCCACCCGCAACGGGAGACCTGGGTTTGATCCCTGGGTTGGGAAGATCCCCTGGAGAAAGGAAAGGCTGCCCATTCCAGTATTCTGGCCTGGAGAATTCCATGGACTATAGAGGCAAATACAAGAATCCAATGGCTTTCTATTAAGCCAGACATGAAAGAAATTTACAAAAATGAAAGCAATATTCTTTTCTCTGATTAAAAAAAATCTGGAAAATATTTTCCCACAAAAATACATGAAATGGATTCTTATTTTCAAATAAATTGTTTAAATTTCTCAGTCATAACATGTAGTACACTAAATCATGATAGACCCTGTCTAACAGGGTTCTCAATAGTTACAGTATAAACTGTACTGAGAGCCTCTCCCTAAAACAGAACACCTGGTATGGAGGCTGCATCAGGGATTTGGAGAAAGAGGATCTTGGAATTCAAGTTCCAATTCTATCACTTTAACTGTGATTTTAGGTTAAGTTACTTAGGTGCAGGCTCAGAAGACAGAGCGTGTGTTTTTAGTATTGGCTCCATCACTTGCTGGTAGCATGTTACTACCTCTGCAAATAGGGATAAACTACAACACCCTGTTGCTGTGAGAATTAAATGGGATTATACTTGTAAAATGCTTACAACTGTACCTAGAACATGGAAGAGCTCAGTAAAAGCTAGCTACTGTTATTAATTAGTTATCTAACAGCATCCTAGTAACTGGCTTTCTTCATCCTCTGCAGAGAGAGAACTGAAGCTATTCAGGTGTTATAAATTTGAGGAGAAGGTATAAGTAAACTTGTGGATAATTGTGTGTGGCTTCAACCATAAGGCAATTAATGTTACAAAAATTGTTTTAGTTTCCCTTTTCTCAGCTTTTGAAGAAATAAAACTGACAAACATCCCCAGAACCCTTACCCTATAATTTAGTTAGGAAACAGAAAAGTATTGTACGCCTAAAGGAATTGAGGTCTGGCAGAAAACTAAATACTCAGGAGATCTGGGCAGCTCTACTAAGGAAATTCATTTAAACTCTTGACCTCAGTTATGTCATCATTTTTGGACAGAAATCACCTCCAACCTCCCTTGTGGCTTCTGAATCCTGCCAAGCTCACCTCGACATCTTTTAAATATATCTTTCCGGCAGCCTCGAAATCCTAATAAACGCCAGGGAGAAGGGCAAAGTCCCAGAGACCTTTTTCCCCTTGCAAATGGATGTGTTCTCAGCACCCAGAAGCGAAGGTCTGGGTAGCCGCAGCTGCTGCCAGCTCCCTGCCCTACTTTTCAGCAGGGGGTGGCATGCCAGCGTCCTCGCACCATCCTGGCCATTAGCAGGTCAGCCAGTGTACCACGGGGGCCAGGACGTCGGTCTTCCTCTCTATGAAGTGAAGAGGCTGGGCTGGTTTATCCTTGCTCGAAGAACTTTGCTTTCACCGAGACTTGACAGGCTCTCCACTCGTAACGCCTCACGCCGCGTCCCATCCTTCCAAAGACCTCTCGCGCCTCGTATCGAGAACCCGCGGGTGGCTTCGGAGCGGAGGTCACGCCGCGCGCAACAACCCCTGGTCCAGCGCTCCGACTTCCAGCCGGTTCGGAGGATAACATCTCGCGCGATTCCCTCCACCTCTCGCGACACTTCCCGCCAGCTCTCCTGCGGGTCTCCAAGCCCCGGCCGTCGCTCTGCGGCGAGCTTCGCGTCACCTCAGCGATCTGCTCTCGGCGGCCCGGCCAACTGGCCGCTCGCCCGCTGGGAGCGCGGTGGAGAACGGTGTTGGCGCGAACCCCGCGGGTCCGCAAGCTCCGCCCCGCCCCGCCCCGCCCCGGCTGGCGGGGCAGGCTTCCGCGGGGACATGTCGTGTCCCCCTGAGCGAGGGCATCAGAGCGCGAGAGGCTCTGAGGCAGCCAGGTGAGTCCACGGCGGCAAGCCGGGGGCGGTGGCCGGGCCCCGGGCCCCGGGCCCCCGACCCGAGGGGCGGCTGGGAGGCCCTGCGGGATGGAGATGCCAGGGACGGAGGAGGGCGCGATGCCCGGAGGCAGGGAAGGGAGGGCCCGGGAGGACCAGACCCGGCGGGGCGGGGGGTGGCCTCGGTCCCAGGGACGCGGCCTGGGCCCGCTTGGTATCGACGGCTCCGGAAAGTCACCGGGTTTCCACCCGCGTCCCGCCGCTCTCTGCGGGGCCGGAGGCGGGACGGGGAGAGGCGTCCGCGAGCCCTGAGGTTTCAAACCTGGGTTGCAGGAGGCCCGGCGTCCTGGGGAGAGGGGACACGCGAGGTGGTGGAGGTAGATTCGTGCTGGGGGGGAAAAAAGATTAAAAGTGGCGGAAGCCGGGGAGCGGCGGCTCGGAGGGAGGCCGGGTGTTCGCGGTCCAGCTGCACTGAGTGCCGAGATGGTCTCGCACGCTCTCCTCGCAGGAGCCTGGGCTTTCCCTTCTGTGGTCTGTCTGCAGGGTTGGTTAGTCTCTGCTGGGCGGTGAAGGGGAAACACACAGGTCAGTCTTCCTTGGGGGAAGGAGGCTTTTGAGGTCACTTGCTACTTTTTTCCTCTTGAGACCTGGGCTGTGCGAGTGGGCGCGCGCGTGCGCGCAGTGGCCCCAAGCGAGGGTTCGCGTTTTCAGAAATTTGTACCATCGTGCGTGCTTCAGCACCCTGCAAGGATTGATAAGAAGTGACTGTTATCTTAAGTGAATAGTTTTATTTTCAATGTTGTAATTCCCGTAGCCTGGAGTCTAAAAGCAGGTGTTATTAAAAACAGTTGGAGTAAATGTTTGTGGCTTTGGCACTAGATTTAAATTGGAAATTGGCGTAAAGTGATGTTTTTTTGCAGTCAAGATTTTGACCATGCGTTTCTCATGATTCCAGTTTTGTTTAATTAAAACCATAGTTTTCTGAGAGGATTGGGAGATCAGAGCAAAGCCCGTTGGTCTAACTGTAAGAAGCATTTTGTTTGAAGCCTCCTTCCCTCCCCTAAAAAAAAACAAAAACCAACCAAACAAAAAGCTGTTAATTTAGGTTATTTCTATTTTAAATTGTGTGGCCGCCTTAGTTTTTTTTTTCTTTCAGAAATTCCTTCTAAAAATAACCCTGTTTGTATGTGTGTGTGTGTGTATGAACAATTATACTGTTAATAGAAGGAAATTTTTTTCTCTGAGAGTTTTCTTTTGTCTTTTAGAGAACGAAATGTCATCAGTGGAGTCACAGCAGGAACAGTCGTCCCAGTCAGACCCATCTCCATCACCAAATTCGTGTAGTTCCTTTGAGCTGGTAGACATGGATGCTGGCAGTTTGTATGAACCAGTTTCTCCTCATTGGTTTTATTGTAAGATAATAGATTCTAAGGAGACATGGATTCCTTTCAACTCTCAGGATTCGCAGCAGCTGGAGGAGGCATATAGCTCTGGTAGGGTGAAAGTGATGACTTGTAACAGGCGAGGACTTACTGTCATTCCTCTAAAACTGTAATATGATAGTCATTATAGTGAGTGCTGTTTCTAGTTATCTCCTATAGCATTTTAATATCGAAGTTCTGCATTACTGTCCAGTGAGTTTATAATATTCAACAATTTGGTCTGTATTTTGAAAACAGTGCCTACTGTAATTTCTGCATAGTTATCCAATAATGTTTCTTACGTTTCAGTTTTTGTTTATAAAGAGTGATGGGTGGTAGTGTCACATTGCATAAGAATGAATCCTTTAAGTTTTTACTTGTTTTTCTTACTTTACAGAATAAGAATGATGCTGGTTAGTACTTTGTCATCATGAGGTCATTAATCTACCTTTTGACCCCTTAAGCAAAAATTCAGAAATGCTTTCTTATTTATAGTTTTTTGTTTTTTAAAGGGATACTATAATCTCTTCTCAGAAAAAGAGCAAAATAGTATTTGGGTATTATTTTTTTCATGTTTCATTAAAGCCAAGAATGATTTGATGGTTTAGACAAGAAGAAAGGGATCATTCATATGTTTTATAACTTTATTTAGAGTATAACTCAGTTTTTTGGGGGTAATGGCAGTTGTATTTTATTTTGCTATACTATGTGCTTCTTTTCCCCTTTCCAATCCTCAATAGGAAAAGATTATAATAGAATTGTTCCCACTGATGGGGGTAGATATGATGTTCATTTGGGGGAGAGGATGCGGTATGCTGTTTACTGGGATGAACTGGCTTCAGAAGTGAGACGATGTACCTGGTTTTACAAGGGAGACAAAGATAATAAGTATATTCCATACTCGGAGAGCTTCAGCCAAGTTCTAGAGGTATTCCTTTGACCTCTTTTTTTACTCATTTTCTTCATTTTTTTCTTCTCTTATTTAATAGTCTTTTCTTCCTCTTTGTGACTTATTTTGTGAATTTATAAAGAGAGCTTGGTTCTATCTGCAGCACAGTTTATGGCGTTTCTTTTTGCAAGTCAGTTTCAGGATAAAGAAGTTTTCAGATTTTAAAATACTACAGAAACTGTTATGTCTTTAAAATTTTTTTTCTCTAATGGTGATCATTGTTAGTATTTAAACTACGACCACAGAGTTGTTCATTTTTGCTTTTTATTTTTCTTGCTCTGAAACTATTCTGAAATTTGCTTTAAATCGGAGTAGGACATTAATATTGTTGAAAGAAATATATCAAAATGTGAACAATGATTATTTCTAGACTAGATGATGGGATTAGAACTGATTTTTTCCTTTGTTCTATACTGTTACATATTGTAATTTTAAAATAATTTTAAAATAAATTTGATAAATCAAGAGAAGGAACTTTATATGTAATATCCTAATTTTATGGATAATATACATGCATTAATATCATTGAAAGAAATATATCAAAATGTGTATAGCTGTTTTTTCCAGTCTAGATGATAGAAGCAGAATGATTATTTTTTGGTGATTGTTTTTTGTTTTATTCTATACTAGTATCTGTTGTCATTTAAAGAGAATTAAAATAAATTTGATAAATTGAAGTAAAGATATTCTTACTGTAATTGTTTATCTAGCAGTATTCTTGTAGAGAGGTTCAGTTTTAATAGAAAAACCATTAGAGAAATCTAATGAAATGTGTTTTGTTTTAAGGAAACTTACATGCTTGCTGTAACTCTGGATGAATGGAAAAAGAAATTGGAGTCTCCCAACAGAGAAATTATTATATTACACAATCCAAAGGTAAAGCAAATTAAGGCCCTTCTTTAATGTTAGGATTAAGATTAATTGAGTTACTAAAGAGAATGCAATTAATTCTTAGTGGTTTCTTTTTTCTAGCGATTCTACATAGGATAACCTTTGGAAATTTTTATATTGCATTCACAATTATGAAATCTAAAACTGTGGCCACTACCATTATTTGCTCATTCAACTTTTTTTTTGATTTCTACCACTTTATTGCTACCAACCCATCTCCCTCCACCCTCGTGCACACATGCTCAGTCATGTAATCCCATGGACTGCAGCCCACCAGGCTTCTGTGTCCATGGACTTTTCCAGGCAAGAATACTGGAGTGGGTTGCCATTTCCTTCTCCATCATTCAACTCTTGCGAGGAGAATTTCCTTAGGGAAAATTATGTTATTGTAGATTAAGAAGATTACTGACATATTAGGTAGGCGTATCTTTCACGTGTAGGATGTTGTGGAAAGATATGTTAACCTGATACATTTTCTTTTTCCTTTTGTTTTTTAGCTTTATTGAGGTATAGTTGACAAAATAGTGAGATATTTAAAGTGTAGAACATTAGCCTAATGTATTTTCAAGTATTTCATTTGTGTTTCATTTCAAACTGTAGGAGTTACATAGCAAAACTCCAGTTGAGATTTGACAGTGTTTGTGGCTCAGACAGTGAAGAATCTGCCTACAATACAGGAGACCCAGGTTTGATCCTTGGGGTGGGAAGATTCCCCTGGAGAAGGAAATGACAATGCATTCCATTATTCTTGCCTGGTGAATTCTATGGACAGAGGAACCTGGCAGGCTCCAGCCCATGGGATGGCAGAGTAGGACACAACTAAGTGACTTTCTCTTTCACACTTTATATTTTGGAAGACTTGTCCCCACCCCTCATTATGTATTAAGATGTATTTAATGTGGAATAAATATCTTTATTGCTCTCATCTTTTTTATTTAAGCTTATGGTGCATTACCAGCCAGTTGCAGGGTCCGATGAATGGGGTTCAGCACCCGCCGAGCAAGGTCGACCTCGAACAGTGAAGAGGGGGGTTGAGAACATCTCTGTTGACATTCACTGTGGTAATGTTAATCATTCATTTTTTTCTTATCTTCTGATATACTTGTTTATGACTTAAACTGTGGCCTTTTTCTATGACTTTTATTACCTTGAGGCTTAAAAATGGCCTTTAATCCAATGGGCTTATTCTAAGTTAAGATTAGCATTACTTCATCTAGTGAGAATCTTAATAGGTATAAAAATCTCTTTTGAAGTTGCTAAGTATATATGGTGGGATGGATAAAATTTGGGCAGTACTGATCAGGAAGTCACTAAGTACAAATGAACTTAGTCCTAATTCTAAGAAATGTGATTCTTCCTGCTCGCTTATTTATTCCTGGTAACTCTGTCCTTGCGGAGAAGGCAATGGCACCCCACTCCAGTACTCTTGCCTGGAAAATCCCATGAATGGAGGAGCTTGGTAGTCTGCGGTCCATGGGGTCACTAAGAGTTGGACACGACTGAGCAACTTCACTTTCATTTTTAACTTTCACGCGTTGGAGAAGGAAATGGCAACCCACTCCAGTGTTCTTGCCTGGAGAATCCCAGGGATGGGGGAGCCTGGTGGGCTGCCGTCATGGGGTTGCACAGAGTTGGACACAACTGAAGTGACTTAGCAGCAGCAACTCTGTCCTTGAAGTTTTTCAACGAGGGAAAACTATTTTTCAGTAGGACCCTGATGGTTATCCATTGGTCTCTAGCTAGGGGTGTTTATGGTTGGTTTTGTAGTATATTTAACTGGATTATAAAATTCCTTTTAAGTATTCTGTCGTCAAATTGTCTGAATTTGGTAACTGCCCTGTGGCTATACAAGAGAGTATTCTCAGGAAATACACAAAATATTGAAGGTTTAAAGAGGTGTGATGTGTGTAGTCTGATGATGTATGCAGCCTACTCCCAAATGGTTCTAAAAATAAATGTGTGTGAACACACACACACACATAATGTTAGAAGTATGGAATCTGTGAAAAAGAGATTTTCTGTACTATTCTTTCAAGTTTTCTGTAAGATTGCAGTTATTTCAAAGTAAAAAGTTTAAAAATCCTGAAAAATTTTTTCACCGACTTACTGGGTTAGTGCAGACCTAATTGTAGTTTTGGACCATGAATTTAAACATTATAGCTAGGCTCAAACGTATTTTTATTAATCAAAATAGGAACCATTACAATCAACATATTTTTGCCAACAAGAAATAAGTTTTATTCCTGTAGCATAAAAATCCATGCTTCTAGATTCTACAAACTCTTGGAAAGCATTTTCTGCCTCATGCCGATTGTGAAAGTGTTTTCCCTGCAAAAAGTTGTCAAGATGCTTGAAGAAGTAGTAGTCAGTTGGCAAGAGGTTGGGTGAATATGGCAGATGAAGCAAAACTGTGTAACCCAATTAGTTCAACTTTTGAAGTGTTCGTGCAACATGGGGTTGGGTGGTGTTGTGCAGAAGAATTGGACCCTTTCTGTTGATCAGTGGCAGCTTCAGGCATTGCAGTTCTCAGTGCATCTCATTGATTTGCTGAGCAAATCTCAGATGTAATGGTTTCGCTGGGATTCAGAAAGCTGTAGTGGATTAGACTGCCAGCAAACCACCAGTGACCGTGACTTTTTTTGGATGCACGTTTAGCTTTGGGAAATGCTTTGGAACTTCTTGGTTCAGCCACTGAGCTGGCTGTCGCTGGTTGTTGTATAAAATCTACTTTTTGTCCCACATCACAATCTGATCCAGAAATGATTCATTGTTGTTGCACAGAATAAGAGAAGATGACACTTCAAAGCGACAAGTTTTAAAATTTTTGGTCAGCTCATAAGGCACCCACTAAGCAAGCTTTTTCACCTTTTTAATTTGCTTCAAATGCTGAACAACTGTAGAAGGTTGATGTTAGTTCTTCTGCAACTTCTTGTTAGTTGTAAGAGGATCAGCTTTGATGATGCCTCTCAGTTGGTCATTATCAACTTCCAGTGGCTGGCCAGTATGCTTCTCATCTTCAAGACTCTCATCTCCTTTGCAAAACTTCTTCAACCACTGCTGCACTGTACGTTCGTTAGCAGTTCCTAGGCCAAATGTATTGTTGATGTTGCAAGTTATCTCTGCTGCTTTACAACCCATTTTGACCTTATTTAAGAAAATCACTCGAATTTGCTTTTTGTCTAACATCATTTTCATAGCCTAAGATAAATATAAAATAAACAGCAAGTAATAATACTTAGCAAAGAAACAAGGTGAGAAATGTGTATTAAAACACATTTAGATGTTAGATCTATAACATAATCATATTTATTAAAAATGTTTTCTGATATCAAATGGCAAAAAGTTCAATAGTGTAAAAACCACAATTACTTTTGCACCAACCAAATATTTTAAGATAAATTAGAAACACTTTTGAGATAAATTAGAAACAAAGTAAAATCACAATATTTTTACTAAGTAGTGAAATATAGGAAAATTTGTGTCTTTAGAAAAAACCTGCTCATAGTTTAACTTACCCATTTCTATTACCTACTTATTGTGAATGTTTGATTTTAGAATACATGACTAGTTATACTGAATAACTTTTCTTTATAATTTCACTTGTAGGGGAACCTTTACAAATAGATCACTTGGTTTTTGTAGTCCATGGGATCGGACCTGCTTGTGATCTCCGCTTTCGAAGCATTGTACAGTGTGGTAGGTTTGCAAAACGTGTCAGGTTAGATCACGTAAAGGACTGTTAGTGCTCCTCTGAGCCGAGAGAGTGTTGTCTTAGGCTGTCCTCTTAGCTGCATAATAAGATTTGGAGAGCTGAAGACAGGTGGCAAGGTAGTAAAGCCTCCCAGCTTATACCTAAAGTGCTAGTAACTTCCTTAGGCTAATAGGTTTATACTCTTAACTAATAGTTCTTGAGTGAATAAGCCTTCAAGTCCGATAAAATTGTTTTATGATGTGACTGTCCTGTTTGTAACTATTCCAAATTTAAAGGGAACCATAAATATATGACCATAAAATTAATCTAGTTTAAATGAATAACTGAAACTTACATTTTTTCAACTTAAAATGTGATAAACCTCATGATACTCTAATTGGAATATTTAAGTCATTAACTTGATTTTGAAAAGTAGTATTCATAGTCTAATTGTCCCAATTTTGGAATCTTATCCTAATACTAATGCTTCAAAGCATAAACTTTCTAGAAGGTTAAGATCAATGTAATATGAATTCTGAACATCAGTGGTTTTTCTAAATACTGAATAATGAATGATTGTTTGAGTGCAAGGCCAACTGACATAGTCAGGTGATTCTTTTAAAAAATTGAAACAGTTCATCTGACACAGAAGTTTTGAAGTTAGTGTGTGTGTGTGTGTGTGTGTGTGTTTAATGAAAATGTTTTGTATAGTAAAAGCAGTTCTATATGAAAGGAATGTCTTTTCCTATATGCACTATTAATTTTTCTTAAATATAACTCTAGTTTTGACTCTAGTCAGTATGTGCTCTAAGCAAATGTAGATGAGTGTGGTATAATCATATGATCTGTTACATCCTAATTCTGTGAATTGATTGCTTCACTGTTAATGCATTAGTTAATTTTCTTTTCTAGTTAATGATTTTCGCAGTGTTTCTTTGAACCTGCTACAGACGCATTTTAAGAAAGCCCAAGAAAATCAGCAGATTGGGAGGGTAGAATTTCTCCCAGTCAACTGGCATAGTCCCTTGCATTCCACTGGTGTAGATGTGTGAGTAGTACTTTACACCTTTGAGTTATTACCTGTGATTGTAATGTTTTCTGATCATTAATATGCTTAGGAACATCTCTGCTGTTAGCTGAGTGTATATAAAATTCTGTTCAACAAAAAACTTTTTGTACTTTTGTGTCATTTTCTTAGAGTTATATTATTAAGTGCTGAACAATCCCTTTGTTTAACCAGCTTGGGTCAGGAGTAGGGAATGGTGTGTATCTTCTTCCAATATGTTTTAGTGGCTCATTAGTGTTTACTATTGCAGCTTTACTATTTCTTTAGCATAAAGGAGGTTATGGAATGTATTTAAGTTTTCTGCTTAAAGCATCTTTCCTTTTTTTCAGAGATCTGCAGCGAATAACCCTGCCTAGCATTAACCGCCTCAGACACTTTACCAACGACACGATTCTGGATGTCTTCTTCTACAACAGCCCCACCTACTGTCAGACTATTGTGGACACAGTCGCTTCTGAAATGAACCGAATTTATATACTTTTTCTGCAGAGGAACCCTAATTTCAAAGGGAGTGTATCCATTGCTGGTCATAGTTTAGGTAATGAATTCCCTGTGACTGGAGAGGACTGTCACATTGTATGGAGACCTTTTAGGTATTTTTGAAGTACAGTGTCTTATCAGTGTCAGATTCAGAGGTCTAGGACTGGTCTGTGATGAAGTACGGAAGGGGCTGGAAGGGTGATGGTGGATTGGAAGAGAGACTCCCTACTTAGTAGGTTTTGCTACATGGGTAGTTGGCTTATTCCTTTTTTGTGTAAAAGACAGCTGTTCAGTGCTAATGGTTCAAAATTGTCCCCTCTTCTGTTTTACTTACAGGTTCGCTTATATTGTTTGATATCCTAACAAATCAGAAAGATTCTTTGGGAGATACTGACAGTGAAAAGGTAATTTAGATGTTCAGATAGGTTTTCTTGTACTATTTCTTAGTAGGGATTTTTAGATTTTAGACTTTTTTCCCCCCTTAGTCTCATACCATAATATTAAATTTACATTTATTTTAATTTTAACAGATTTGTAATTATCTCTGTTATTCTTGGATGATAGAAGCAAGATAGTAATATGCTTCTATAAACATGTGCCACATTCTAAAATAATTAATGGTTATCTTATTTTCATTATAAATATGCACTACTGATCTGTTATTATAGAATCATTGAGTTTAAATGGAATTTGCATATGAGGAAATGAAGAATGAATTGAATGTAAATTGATATAGTTTATAGAAATTCTGCTTGAAAGCTGTCCTTAAACACTACTAAGGAAAAAAAAAAAAACACTACTAAGAGCTCAGGGAAAGTTTTGTTAATGATGATGATGAATACGTTAATAGTCATTCAGTCACAGATTGATTTATTTAAAAACATATAAAGTTTCAATTGACTGCAAAAACTTAAAGATCAATCACATTTTAGTTTATATTTCATATACATTTTGATTTAGTCAAAGTTAAGATACTATGTGGCTATCTTACATAGTGCTTTTCTTTATTGCAAAGTAATATTAATAAAAATATCTAAATGAATTTAGACAATATAAGTTTTACAATTTAATTTTTAGGATTTGCCAAGTATTTTCATAGATCAAGGAGATACACCAACACTGGAGGAAGATTTGAAGAAACTTCAACTGTCTGAGTTCTTTGGTATCTTTGAGAAGGAGAAAATAGATAAGGAAGCTCTGGTAAAAATAATCTTTTAAAACTGTACTCTGTTCCATTTTCAGTATTTTTATTGCTTATTTTCATCATACTGCTGGCTAAGAGCCTGCCCTTTAGAAGCATTTTAGTCATACATACTTTATCATTAGTAATGCTCTTTAGCATTTTTTTTTTCCATCATATAAAGTGATCTTTTCTTTGTGGGAGTTCAAAGTTCAGAGGAGCCACGTTGATAATAGCAATAGAGCAAAGACTAAAACCCAGCACAGCTCTGAAAACATGAGAGCAGGTGTAAAGGCCACTGACTTTTCCAGCTCTTATTTTCTGTTACACTTTCCAGAGCTCTACTTGTGGGTATTTGCTTATTTTTTTGCCACCTTGGTTGTGCCTTTTTTTTTTTTTAGGTTTGTGACACATTTGTTCATTTAACAGGTATTTAGTAAATACCTACAATGATCAGGCAGCTGTACCAAGTATGAGGTAGAGTGCTGATAAGGCAGATACAGTTCAAACCTCATGGTGCTTATAGCTTAGTGGAAAAGACACAGATAGCCAAACACATAATTAATTACAACTGTGCTCAGTTGTAAGTAGGGGAAGTGCACAGTTTAGGAGTGTACAGTGGGATGAGCTGATCTAATCTGGGAGGCGAAGGAAGACTTCCCTCGTCAGGAGCAGCCCTTTGGCTGACCCCTGGATTGTTGGTCTGTTTTGTGCTCTGTGTTTGCTTTATGTTCTCACTGCTCATGTGCGCAAGCAGGAACATAACCTTTCTCGGGGATGGAACATCTGAGGAGTGTGGAAACCGTGGAGGGTTTTTCTGTCGTGAAGTTAGATACTCACCTCTGTAGGTTTTTTTTTTTTTTTGCAATAATATCTGTATTACTACAGCATTTATAACTCCAGTATTGATATTTTATATTCCTTTTTTAAGCTCTTTATTAAGAAGATAAAGTTATTAATGATGCTTTACCACTGGGGACTCCTAGTCGTGTAAAGCCAAGAACAGCAGAGTGCTTAGGCCTATTCCTCTCAGAGAACAGGACATTTAATTGCCTTTATTTTGCCTAGAAATAAAAACAGTGTTTGATTTTTTATGCTTAGACTTTATGTACAGACAAAGACCTTCAGGAAATGGGAATTCCCTTAGGACCAAGAAAGAAGATACTAAACTACTTTAGGACCAGAAAAAATTCGATGGTATGTGCTTAATATAGCTTATGGGATTAAACAGTGTGTTGACTTCCTTGTACCCTCGTGCTTTGTGAGGTGTATAGGGAGCTAAGCAGTTTTAAAATTTACCTTTGGCTCTCTTTTTTATAAATTAAATACATTTTCTTTATTAATATCTTTAAAAATGTTATCAGTGTCAGAAGTCTTATCTCCCCTGGACTTCTACCATTCAGGTTTTTTCCTTTTTTGGTTTGCATTACAACTAGTTTATTGAAATATATTGCACATCACATGCCATAAAATTCACCCTTTTAAAATATACAATTCAGTGGGTCTTGGTATATTCAGAGTTGAATAACCATTACCACTATTGCATTCCAGAACATTCCATCATGATAGAAACATCATATTCAATAGCAGTCACTCCCCATTCCTCCCTCCTGTGAACCACTGATCTGTTTTCTGTCTCTGTGTATTTTCTTATTCTGGATATTTCATGTAAATGGAGTTATACGATATGTGGCCTTTTGTGACTGGCTTCTTTCACTTAGCATAATGTATTCAAGGTATAACCATGTTGTAACAGTGCTTGTGCACTGAGTATTTTTGGCCACTGAATTCCTTTCCATAGCCTAGTTGATTATCTTTCAACCGTTTAGCAGGTTGCTTGGTTCTGATTTGAGGCTGATAGAGACATACTGTTTGCTTTGATTAGAAAGGCATAGCACTTCATTGAACTCTTCAGTAGCCCCCAATAGCCCACAGTGCTCTGCTTTCGTTTGCTCTCATGATGGTTGCCCAAAGTTGCAGTTACTACCCAGAAGGCTTTGTACAGCTTTCATCATTTCAGAGCATGTAGGGATATCAGTTCATAATTTAAGGCAGCTTTGGTTTTCTTTAGCTTTGTTTTCTGAGAGATTCTTCTGAAAATTGTTGACTGTTGTTTCAAAACTTTCCCAAGCCTCCTTTTAAACCAATAGAAAACTGTATAATCCTTTGGATATTTTTACTACTTAGCAGCTCCACAGAACTATTTTTTATTCTTTAGGGTGTTAACAGACCAACCCCGCAATCACCTGCAGGGGCAAATATGTCTAATATCCCCAAAGAGTCAGAGTTCTACAGTAGTACTAATGGTCTGGACGTCGGCATTGGGCAGGTAAACAGTACTCATTCTCTTTGGTCATTTTATTGTTTGCTATTGGTATTGTAGGAACAGATGTAACTTTTATTATCAATAAGAGATGCTTTCATTTCCTTCATGCAGGTGCCTGTAAAATACCCCCGGCTCATCTATAAACCAGAAATATTCTTTGCCTTTGGATCTCCCATTGGAATGTTCCTTACTGTCCGGGGACTAAAAAGAATTGACCCCAACTACAGATTTCCAACATGCAAAGGTTTCTTCAATATTTATCACCCTGTAAGCATGGTTAGCTCTTGTGATTTCACTTTACTATTAGGGCTTATTGGTAAAGAGCATATGATATTCTATTGTGTTGATTTACTTTTTCTATTTTGTAGTAATGAGAAAATTTATAATAGTATGAATGGGGAATTGAAGAGGGCAGAACTACTATATTTAAAAATAAATGAGCTTATAATGTTTCATATTCCTGAAACCATCATTATGATCAGCAGAGGTATATGTAACTATTGTTTTCTGCATGTAGTTTGATCCTGTGGCCTATAGGATTGAACCAATGGTGGTCCCAGGAATGGAATTTGAGCCAATGCTGATCCCACATCATAAAGGCAGGAAGCGGATGCACTTAGGTATGTCTTGAGTCCAAAACCTGATAATTCTAGACCTTCTGATCAGTGCAGGCTGACTGGACCTCATTCACTTTGCTTGGCTATGTTGAGCCCTTTTACCTCTATAAACCATGTAGTGTTCTTTTTCACATGTGTTTCAGAACTGAGAGAGGGCTTGACCAGGATGAGCATGGACCTTAAGAATAACTTGCTAGGTTCGCTGCGGATGGCCTGGAAGTCTTTCACCAGAGCTCCATACCCCGCCTTACAAGTTTCAGAAACTGCAGAAGAAACAGAAGCAGAACCTGAGTCAAATTCAGAGAAGCCTAGTGGTCAGTGACACTGTACACAGTGGTTTCCTGCACCAGGCCAGATAAGAGGGACTCCCTGATGTCTGGTTCTTATTCTCCCTGGGTCTTCTTAACTTTCCCCTTGTTATTGTTTAGAGCCAACACTATACTATGAGTCCTACTGGGCCTTCAGCTCTGCTGGTTTCTTTCTGTCATCAAATAGCCACAAATTGTGGAAACACATTATTTGTGAGGGAAAATGTTAAGAGAAGCTGAGCATCTAGTAGCTAGGCTTTAAAGCACTCCCCGCTCTGGCAGTGTGGCAGCGACGCTAAGAGCCCACACTGTGAAGAGCCTTGCCTTACCGGGGACTGTCTGTGTATTCATGGGTCAGTTTTGTTTTCCTGGCTGGGCACTAGCTAGGACACTTCTCTTGATTTCACAGTTAATACTGCATTCTTTTGCTTTAATTGTCAATTGCCCAAGGAGATCTAACCCTGCTTGCATTTATTTTGTAAACCAAAGGTAAATGGAATTAGCTGTCAAAGGTATAGGAAAGAAAGAGGATTGGATAAAATCAGTGTGGCTTGAGAACAAGCTTTAAGGGCATGGAGAGGAGATGAGAGAGAGCTTTCAGAGCAGAGTAGCTCGTCGTCTGCTGAGGCTGGAGTGTGAGGGGAGGTAAGGACAGCCTTGGAGGGCTGGAAGCGTCTATGTTCTGACCATGGTTCCTTCATATCCAGATATTAACACAGAAGAGAACCCTGTGCCAGTGAAAGAGGAAGCCCCCCCCATCCATGTGGGAATGCTGAATGGAGGCCAGCGCATTGACTACGTGCTTCAGGAGAAGCCCATTGAAAGTTTTAATGAATATTTATTTGCTTTACAAAGCCATTTGTGCTACTGGTAAGTGTTCCTTTTTGTTTTGGGGGTTTTCTTGGTCTTCAGTTCAGTTGCTTAGTCATGTCCGACTCTTTGTGACCCTGTGGACTGCAGCATGCCAGGCCTCCCTGTCCATCACCAACTCCTGGAGCTCACTCAAACTCAAGTCCATCGCATCGGTGATGCCATCCAACCATCTCATCCTCTGTCGTCCCCTTCTCTTGCTACTTCAGTCTTTCCCAGCATCAAGGTCTTTTCCAATGAGTCAGTTCTTCACATCAGGTGGCCAACGTATTGGAGCTTCAGCTTCAGCATCAGTCCTGCCAGAAAATATTTAGGACTGATTTCCTTTAGGATTGACTGGTTTGATCTCAGTGCAGTCCAAGGGACTCTCAAGAGTCTTCTCCAATAGCACAGTTCAAAAGCATCAGTTCTTTGGCACTCAGCCTTCTTTGTTTATTAAGACCAAATATTTATTATTTGTGTTTATTTTTAACAACATTTATTATTATAACTTTTTTAATGACAGCCTGGTGTGAGGTCACAGGTGTGAGGTGATATTTCGTTGTGGTTTTGAATTGAATTTTTGTGAGAATTAGCGATGTTGAGCACTTTTCATGTGCCTGTTATCCATTTGTCTTCCTTGGTTGGAACTTCAAATGACATGATTGTGCTATTTTGTATTAATAATTATCTGAACAAGCAATCATTCTAATTCCAAATGAACACCGGCCTATGCTGCTTTTTCTACATCTGTCAAATACCTGTGATACAATGAAGACTTATTTCACTAAGCATAATATTTTTTAGGTCCATCCATGTTGCTGCAAATGGCAGAATTCTGTTCTTTTTTATGGCTGTGTATTATTCCATTGTAAATATGTACCACATTTTTATTTATTTGTCTGTTGATGGATGCTTAGGTTGCTTCCATATCTTAGTTATTGTGAATAGTGTGGCTGTGAACACTGGGATGCATATATCTTTTCAAGTTAGTGTTTTTGTTTTTCCTGGGTATATGCCAAGGAGTGGAGTTGCCAGATCATATGATAGTTGTATTTTTATTTTTTGAGGAGCCTCTATACTGGGTTCCACAGTGGCTGCACCAGTTTACATTCCTACCAGCAGTAGATAAGAGTTCTCTTTTTTCCACATCCTTGCCAACATTTATTATTTGTGTTCTTTTTGATGACAGCCATTCTGACAGGTGTGAGGTAATGTTTCATTTTGGTTTTGAATTGAATTTCCCTGGGGAATAGTGATATTGACCACCTTTTCATGTGCCTGTTATCCATTTGTATGTCTCCCTTGGAAAAATGTCTCTTCAGTCTTCTGCCTTTTTTGATTGGGTTATTTGGGGACTTTTTTTTATATTGAGCTTTATGAGCTGTTTATATGTTTTGAATATTAACCTGTTATTGCTCATATCATTTGCAGATATTTTCTCCCATTCAGTAGCTTTTGGTTTCATCTTGTCTATGGTTTCCTTTGCTGGCAAAAAGCTTTTATGGATTAATTAGGTTCCATTTGCTTATTTTTGCTTTGAAAGACAAACCCAAAATATTTTGCTATGATTTATATCAAAGAGTGTTCTGTCCGTGTTCTCTTCTAGGAGGTTTGTGGTTTCCACTCTTGTATTTAGATGTTTAATCTGTTATGAGTTTATTTTTCTATATGGTGTGCAGAGATTTTATGTCATTCTTTTACATGTTGCTGTCCAGTTTTCCCAGCACCACTTATCAAAGAAATTATCTTTTCTTCATTGTATATTCTTGCCTCCTTTGTTGTAGATTAGTTGACTCTGGGTGTGTGGGTTTATTTCTGGGCTCCATATTCTGTTCCATTGTTCTGTGTGTCTGTTTTTGTGCCAGTACTAAATATATTTCGATAACTGTAGCTTTGTAGTATAGTCTGAAGTCTGGGAGGATAACTTTGACAATATAGGGCCTTTTGTGATTCTGTATAAATTTTAGATTCATTTGTGCTAGTTCAATGCAAAATGTCATGGGTATTTCAGTAGGGATTACATTAAGTCTGTAGATTGCTTTGGGTAGTGTGGTCATTTTAATAATATTAATTTTTCTGATCCAAGAGCACAGAATATCTTTTCACTTCTTTATATCATCTTTAGTTTCCTTCCTCAGCATTTTATAATTCTCTGAGTATAGGCTTTCACTTCCTTGGTTAAATTTATTCCTAGGGCATTTTATTCTTTTTGATGTAATTTTAAATGGGATTTTTTTTTTTACTTTTTGATAGTTCATTAATATCATATAGAAAAGCATTAGATTTCTGTATATTAATCTTGTATCCTGTAAGTTTACTGAATTCATTTGTTCTAGTAGCTTTTTGGTGGAGGCTTTAGGGTTTTCTATGTAAAGTATCACATCGTCTGTAAATAGTGACAGTTTTACTTCCTCCCTTCCAACATGGGTGCTTTTTCTTCCTTCTTCCTTTCCATTCCTCTGATTGTTGTGGCTTGGACTTCCAGTACTGTTTATGTTACACTGAAGAAGCAAGAGTGGGCATCTGTCTTGTTCCTGAATTTGGAGGAAAGGCTTTAAGCTTTTCATTGTTGTGTATGACGATAGCTGTGGGTTTGTCATAGGCAATCTTTATTATGTTAAGTTATGTTCTCTTTATACCAACTTGGAGAATTTTTGTCAATGTATATTTAATTTCATTAAATACTATTTCTGTATCTATTAAGATGATCATGTCATTTTTGTCCTTCCTTTTGTTGATGTGGTGTGTCACACTGATTGAATTGTGAATATTGAAGCATCTTTGTGTCCCTGGGATAAATCCCACTTGATCATTGTGTATGATCTTTTATTTATTTTTTGGGTTGTTTGTTACAATATTTTATTGAGTTTTACATCTGTAGTCATCAAAGACATTGATAAGTAGTTTTCCTTTTTTGTAGTGTATTGGTCTGACTTGGGTATCAGGATATGATGGCCTCACAATGCATTTGGGAGGGTTTCTTCCTCTTCTTCTTCCTCTTTAAACTATTTTTTGGAATAGTTTAAAAAGGATGAGTATTTAAATCTTTGTAATTTGCTAGAATCCCCCAGGGAAGCTGGTCCTGGACTTTTGTTTCCTGGGAGTTTTTTTTATAATTTGTACTTACTATTCTTGGCTGTGCTGGGTCTCTGTTGCTGCGCAGGCTTTTCTCTAGTTGCAGAGCGTGGGGGCTCCTCATTGCAGTGGCTTATCTTGTTGCGAAGCATGGGCTCTAGGTCACACGGCTTCAGCAGTCGCGGCTCCTGGGCTTTAGAGCACGGGCTCAGGAGTTGCGGTGCATGGGCGCAGTTGCTCCGAGGCATGTGGGATCCTCCCGGACCAGGGATCGAACCTGTATCTCCTTCATTGGCAGGCAGATTCTTCGCCACTGAGCCACCAGGGAAGCCTCCTGCGAGTTTTTTAAATTACAAATACAATTTCACTACTAGTGTTTGGTTTATTCAGATGGTCTGCTTCTTATTGATTTCAGTCTTGCCAATTTTTATGTTTTTTTAGAAATTTGTCCGTTTCTTCTAGGTTGTCCAATTTGTTGGAATATGACCATTGATAGTATCCTCTTATGTTTTTCTACCTCTGTGGTATCAGTTGTATTTCTCTTGCATTTCTTATTTTGATTATTTTGGATTCTCTCTTCTTGGCGAGCCTGATTATCAGTTTTTGATTATCTTTTCAAGAAACTAACTCTTGTTTTCATTGATATTTTCTATTGTTTTTAAAAATTTTGTATTTATTTATGGCTGTGCTGGGTCTCCATTACTGCACCAGCTTTTCTCTAGTTGTGGCAAGCGGGGGCTAGTCTTTGTTGCAGTGCATGGGCTTCTCATTGCGGCGACTGCTCATTGTGGGGCATGGGCTCACGGGCACACGGGCTGCAGTAGTTGCAGCACCTGGATGCAGTATTTGCAGTCTCAGGGCTCTCAGAGTACAGGCGTAGTGACCAGGGATTGAATCCGTGTTTCCTGCATTGGCGAGTGAATTCTTCACCACTGAGCCGCCAGGGAATCCCTATTGTTTTTTTCCTTTAAGATGTGTTTTATTTCTTCTCTCTCTGATCTTTATTATTCCCTTGCTTCTGCTGACTTTGGATTGTTTTCTTTTTCTAATTTCTTTAGGTGGTAGGTTTGAGATTTTTCTTATTTCTCAAGGAAATAAGTGAAAAGTGAAAGTTTAGTTGCTCAGTTGTCTCTGACTCTTTGCGGCTCCATGGATTGTAGACTACCAGGCTCCTCTGTCCACGGGATTTTCCAGGCAAGAGTACTGGGATGGGTTGCCACTTCCTTCTCCAGAGGATCTTCCTGGCCCAGGGATCAAACCCGGGTCTCCCACATTGTAGGCAGCCACTTTTACCGTCTGAGCCACCAGATAAGGAAGGCCTGTATCACTATAAACTTCTCTCTTAGATCTGTTTTTTTCTGCATCCCATAGATTTTTGGAGAGTCATATTTCCATTTTTATTTGTCTCAAGGTATTTTCTGGTTTCCTTTTTGATTTCTCTATTGACCCATTGTTTTTTTTAGTAGCGTATCATTTAATCTCCAGTGTGAGTTCTTTTCCCGTTTTTCTTTCTGTAATTGACTTCTAGTTTCATGCTATTGTGGTTGGAAAAAATGCTTGGTATAATTTTTATCCTCAACATGTGATCTGTTCTGGAGAACATTTCATGTGCACTTGGAAAAAAAAAGTGTATTCTGCTATTTTTGGACATAATGTCCTTGTAGATATCTAATATATTCAAATCGTCTATAATGTGTCATTTAAGGCCATTGTTGCCTTATAGATTTCCTGTCTGGATGATCTGTCCATTGATAAAAGTGGGATGTTAAAGTCCCCTACTATTACTGTGTTATTGTCAGTTTCTCCCTTTAGGTGTTAGTATTTGCTTTACATGTTGAGGTGCTCCGGTCTTGGATGCATATATGTTAAATGTTATGGCTTGTTCTTGTAATGATCCCTTTATCACTATAGAATGCCCTTCTTTGTCTTCTGTTATACCCATT